CGTAGACCCTAGCACCCACTGACATGCAGGGTCTTCTGGTTGACCTCTGCTAATCCTGTTTCATTCTTTCCCTGCTTCCTGACCCTCCCTCGCTGTCCTTTCTGTCTCCCATCTCTGGTCCTCCACTGCCTTGTTGCCTCTCTCTTGCTTCCTTCTTCTCTAATGTGTGTTTGTTGCTGTTCAGTCTTTCTTCACCTCCTCCTTTCTCTTCCTCTCTCTTTATTTTTACTTCTCTCACGTCTCTGTCTCACTCACTCTCTTTCTCTACAGGTTTCCAGCGGTGATCTCTCTTTTTCTGTGTCTCTCTGTTGGGAGTTCACTGTCTGCTCGCCTTTCCCCTGTGTCTCTGTCTGTCTTTCCACATTGAGTAGTTCTCCCTCCCTGATTGTGTCTCCTTCTCTCCACCTTGGTCTCTGGTTTCCTCTCTAGGCAGGGACAGCCCTGGGTTATGGCGAATCTGAGTCACCCGTCCGAGTTCATCCTCGTTGGCTTCTCCTCCTTTGGTGAGCTACAGGTTCTGCTGTATGGATCCTTCCTCGTGCTCTATCTTCTGTCCTTCACAGGAAACCTCATCATCATCATCATGGTCATGGCTGACACACACCTCCATACACCCATGTACTTCTTCCTGGGCAACTTCTCCCTGCTGGAGATCCTGGTGACCATGACGGTGGTGCCCAGGATGCTCTCGGACCTACTGGCCTCTTGTAATGCCATCTCCTTCACTGGCTGCTTGGTCCAGTTCTACTTTTACTTCTCTCTGGGCTCCACCTCCTTCCTTATCCTGGCCGACATGGCCCTTGACCGCTTCGTCGCCATCTGCCACCCCCTGCGTTATGGCACACTGATGCGCTGGGCAGTCTGTGGTCGGTTGGCAGGGGCAGCCTGGGTATCTCCCTTCCTCGCCATGGTGCCCACTGTCCTCTCCCGGGCACATCTCAATTACTGTCATGGCAACATCATCAACCACTTCTTCTGTGACAACACCCCTCTGCTGCAGCTGGCCTGCTCAGACACCCGCCTGCTGGAATTCTGGGACTTTGTGATGGCCCTGGCTTTTGTCCTCAGCTCCTTTCTGGTGACCCTCATCTCCTATGGCTACATCGTGAGAACTGTCCTGCGGATCCCCACGGCCAGTGGCCGCCAGAAGGCCTTCTCCACCTGCGGGTCCCACCTCACCCTGGTTTTCATCGGCTATAGCAGCACCATCTTCCTGTACGTGCGGCCGGGCAAAGCACACTCTGTGCAAGTCAACAAGATGGTCGCCCTGGTGACCTCAGTCCTGACCCCTTTCCTCAACCCCATCATTCTGACTTTCCGGAATGAAACAGTCAAGGCTGTTATTCGGGGGCAGCTGCAGAGGCTGAAGGGTCTTGAAAAGTCAGCGTGAACCCAGAGATCTGAGGGCTCAGATCAGAACCTCCAGGTAGCATGGGAAGACCACTGCCCGGTGTCTCCAGGCTTTTTTTTCCCTGTGTCTCCCAGTGAGAACTTCAGGAAGTTCTGCTTCTACTTTGGTGGCTCTCATAAGTGCTCCTGTCCCCTGCTGGCAACTACATGGACTCTGAGTAGCCGGAACCTGGACGGCAGGAATGGACTTTCAGCAAAGGGCAGTGTGTGGGCTTCCTGTCCAAGGAGAAGCAGCCAGGGAGTGCTCTCCGGTGGAGACGTCATCCAGCTCCTGTGTGGGGTGATGTGGGGTAGAGGTGTTTGTGTGTGTGTGTGTGTTGTGTGTTTATGTGTGTGATGTACTATGTGTGTAAGTTTGGAGAATATGTATGTGGTATGTGTGTGGTGTCTGTCATGCTACATGTGTTTTATGTGTATAAGGGTGGGGAATACATATGTGGTTTGTGTGTGTTATGGGTTGATGTGGGTGATGTGTGTGTGTGCATGTGTGTGGGCATATGTATGTGGTTTGTATGTGGTGTGTGTGTGTGGTGTCTGATATACTATGTGTGTGTTATGTATATATATAAGGGTGGGGATATGTATGTGGTTTGTGTATGTGTGTGGGCATATGTATGTGGTTTGTGATGTGCATGTGTGGTATCTGTTTATGTGTGTGATTCGTGTGTGGTGTGTGTACTGATGGGAGACATGTATTTGGCATGCACTTAGTGTCTGTTTATGTGTGTGTGTATGGTTGTGGGAATGTGCATGTGATGTGTGTGCATTGTCTGTTAATGTGTGTGATATGTGTGTGGGGTGTGGGGAACCTGCATGTGTGCAGTGTGTGTGTGGTGCATTGAATGTGAGGGAGTCTTGTGGTGTTTGAACACCATTGAGCAGTTATCCTCCATCTTACAAAAGTCAAGAGGAAATCAAACTTGGATTAAAACCTGGTAAATCTCCATTGATATGAAAAAAATTTTAAAAACAATTTTGCAGGAATGATCTTTGTTCTAGGGAGGAAGACTTCATAGAGAATTAAAACGATAGAACAAAGCTTCTATCCTGTGTGGTTAGAAATGGCCATCTCTCTGAAATACAGGGATTGCAGCACCTCTGGTTTTCCTTCGACCTTTCTAAGGAGCCTGGTGTGGTGCTGGAGAATGATCATTAGACTGCTACCCAGCTGCTCCTCAGAAGCCCCCCTGAAACCCTGCCCAGGGTCACTATGAAGCAGAACCAATGACTCAGTGGCACTTATCAACAACAACCATCTAAACATGTGTGTGTGTTTCATGAAAGCTGGTTCTGTGGCATGTACCCTTTGGAATGAAGCCTCAACTGCACTGCCCTCCCTTCCCCAACTCCAGACTGAAACTCACGGTGACTGCAGGATCATGATGTCTTAGGGTTCCTAAAACAGCCCCATTTAAAATGGTCTGCCATGGGGTTTCTGTAAATGCACCCGAATTTATCAATTTGTGGGCTATAAACCGTACGGCTGCTCCCATCTAGCCTGTATGCCTGTCACCCCACTTACCTAAAGACAACCTAAGTGCCTAAATTCCCACAAATGCTAAACTCCTAAGAATTCCACTCTGAACCTAAACCAGGAGATATTTTTTAGTGGCACCCTAAGAGACAGGATCACCCCATTCAATCCCTTTGGTTCTCTGTCTCCACGGAGCACTTCCTCCGTGCTCCCCAGCCAGCCCCTGCTCAGCCCAGATTCCCTTTTCTAGCTTTCTGGAGGGGTCAGTTCTTTCTTGCTGAGACGCTGCTCACCCACATCAGAGGTTTTCTCTGGATGCCTGGCTTCCCTGCTAGTCTGGAATCCAGCTTCTCAGGTCACAGACGAGAAGAATTCTGGGGTCTGTGGGCTCTGCTGACTTGTTCCATCTAACTGCTTTCTTCTCGCCACCTTAAAGAGAGAATATTTGTAGAATAAGTTAAAAAAGTATAAATACATTAAAAATGATTCTGATAATCCCTTACAGTTGTGTATCTGTTCATACTTAACTATTTCTAACGTACATATTCCATTTGGTTTTATCCTCATAGCAACTCCATTACATAAAGATTCAATGAACCTTGACCGTGAGCAATGCACTCTGGTCATTCAAGATGAAAGAAATGTGGCATTTCACCTTGAAGACTCCCCATTTGGGGAATGAGCGGGAAAAGCACAATTAATCCCATTACACTTTAGTAAAGCCAGCCGCCCTAGTAGCTGTATTGGGCTGGGGGACCACAGCTCCAGGGAAAGTGGCTGACATCTGGCTCTTCATACGCTTTCCCACATCTTCATCCACAGAACACCTTCCTCCATCTGGTCCAGCAGTTGGGTTAGTTAACGCTGGGATCCCCTGTACCTGAAGCCTCCCCTGGCCCTTTGTTTGCTGTGGCTCCATCAAGTTCATGCACTTGTAGTGGCAATCTTTCTGGTGACCCTCCCTCACAGTGATTCCAAGTTCATATCCAAGTTCATATCCAACACCTGAAAATAGTGGCAGAAAGGAATGATGGCTTCGAGGTCACTTTTGAAGATATACAAGTCATCTATTTTCTCTTTGCATTTTCTTTATCATAATGGTGTCCACAAACAATTGAAAGCGAGCAAATGACACATGTTGTTGTTGTTGTTGTTAAGTGCTGTCGATTCGATTCTGACCCATAGCAACTCTATATAGGGTTTCCAAGGAGCCGCTGGTGAGCTTGAACCACAGACCTTGCAGTTCAAATGCCTTTGCAGTCTGGCGCATTAACCTACAACGCCATACCAGGACTCCTAAATGACACCTGTAAGGGCAATAAATCCTTCATTCTTTCTATAAACCTAACTGTTGAGTCGATTCTAACTCAGCGACCCTATAGACCATGTGAATTGCTTGGGAGGTTTCGTGCCCTTGTTAGGAAATCATCTCCACTTGAGGGTGCACAGTGGGTCTGCTCCATGGTCTACACGAGGTGTTTGTCCTGGTTGCACAGGAGTGGTCTGCAGTGAACCTGACAGTGTGATGGTGCAGGA